AACATTCAAGGCCAGGTTGGACGGGGCTCTGAGCAACCTGATGTAGTTGAAGATGTCCCTGCCCACGGCAGGGGGGTTGGACTAGATGACCTTTAGAGGTCCCTTCCAACCCAAACTATTCTATGATTCTGTGATTCTATGAGTAGAGGAATGAGGGTAATAAACATTCAAAGTTCAGTCTCATTTCTGTTTCATTGTAAGTAAAGAGCATAGCAACAGCACTGCAGGAGAAAATCCATGAGTTTCTGCTCAAAAAACGTTGTGGTCCTCATAGTTAAAAAAGAGGTGAGAAGGACCAGGTAGGGAGTGTGGAAAAGACAGAGCTGTGTCCAAACATTGCAGGATGTATAGACCATGCTATCCAATAACCTGTGATGCTTCTAAAGAAAGTTTTGGGGAGAGATGGGAGTGGGAGATTTATCTGTTTGTTTATCCTACCACTCTTCTTTGGCTCCTCTGAAATACCTAACTCTTAGGGCTGTCTAGGGTGAGGTTAGAGGGATATCTGCAGTTGCCTCACTTAACTGAAGGAGTCTAACTAGTTCATGTGTAGGTGAGATGCAGTTTTAAACCAAATTATTTCAAAGCTTCATCTGTTTATCTGCTATTCAGAAAGCTGAAGTATGCCAGCCTAAAAAGGTGTTAGAGACACGTCCTGTAGCCAGAGCTAGGTTAGGATTTCTTTTTCCATCTTGTGCAATTTTTCAGTTTCTATTTCATCTTTTTCTCATTCTATCAGAATGAATGCAAGTTCTTTCAAAATATTAAAGAGAGAGTGTGAGAAAAAGAAACCTGACAGTTCTTCAAGTCCCTTGCTTGAACTGAGATGAGGTTTAATTCTTGGCCTGCAATGACTGCCTTTAACTGCTAGGCTATCTGGGAAGAAGTAAAATGTTTTCTTACTGCAGAAATTCAAGCCTCCTTGGAACGGGAATGTGTGTAACTGAGGAAAGTGTAGGTTTTAACAAGTTGATGCCTTCTGGTTGAGAGCAGACGTGAGGTAGTGGGTAATCCTTGCAAAAGTTCAGGTTGTAACACAGGAGTTAGGAAGCGGGAAGGAAAATACCAAAACAAGTGAAACTAAATTTGGGAATCTCTTTATATTTGGATATTCTCTGCTTGTCAAAACCTAAATCTCGTGCCATGGGGAGGACAGCAAGGCTCTGGAGGAAGGACACTGTAGTCATTGTTTCCTATTTGTGTTAGACATTTGGCCTCATACAAAAGCCAAACCCAGAGAAGGTGACTGTGAAGTGAAAGGGTGAGAGTCCAAGTTCAGATGGGAAACAAAGGCAGTTTCCTTTCCGCTTTTGTGTGGGAACTGAGGCATTTCGTGTTGCTGCCACATGCTGTGAGAACAAAATGGAAGGATGTGGTCCTCAGCTGCATGATTCACCCTTCCAGAGCTCACTTGCTGCTTCCTTCCTTCCTCACTAGTAGCTTTGAAAGTCAGGGGTAACAAGATGATTTTCTTGCCTGCACCATGGTTCTCATTGGCCTATGGTTTATTCATATACACATGGATGTGGGGAGGAGGAGGTGTGGATGGGATCAGCTCTGAGTACTTTCTGTGAAGATTTTCAAATACCACAGTGGAAAGCTATTCTAGACTCATATAAATCTCATTGTAGAGGTATTCAGAATTGCCTGACAAGAAAGGCTGTGTCCCAGGAAATCATTCATTCGTTAGTAGGAGGGGAGCCCTGGGGCCTGAAATCAAATTAATAATGTTTTTGATCCGGCTCATCTTAAATGCAATGTGGTAACCAGTTGTCATGAGATATGAAGTTCAGGTATTATAATGACAAGGGCTGTGAAGAGTCAGTGTCATACTAGAGAGGAGTCATAAAAGTCCCTTTTAGTGAAGACTGCTATCTAAAGAGATAAGAACTTGCTCTCCTAGTATGCTGCGCAGCTGTGTTTTAGCACAGTTTTAAAAGGGAATAGCCATCCTGTTTTACTGAAAGCAAAATCTTCAGCCCATTCATTTCCATAGGTTATAAAGAAACAGGCTTTCTGTTTATTTAAGAACATGGAGAGCAATGGTTTCCAATCACTTCTCAACTTTCTCTAGGAAGTGTGGAATCTTGGCTTATGAAACTGACAGTAGATGCCATTGCTGGTGTCTCCAGTAGGTTATGCTAGCATAACGATATGTAGGCTGATGTCAGAGAAACTATAGCTTCATGATTCGTAGTTGATCTGCATGGACCTTCCTTGACAACTTCTAGTATGAATTCGAATTTCGGGCTGCCAAGGGAGGGAGTGAGATACTGAAGCTTTGGAAAAAGAGTTGGGACTCTAGATCTTTGTCTTGCAAACTGAGCTTCACAAAGCTGAACCTGCAAACCAGCATTAGAAATACTTCTACTGCAACACTGCTCTGGTGTGAAGCAAGTCCACATATTACATTTACTCAGAACTTAACTTGAAGTATCAGCAGAAGCATTCTTTCCTGCAGCCCTTTTTCCAAGCAGTCCCCTCACAAATGTCTTTTCTCAAAATTTCCAGGGGTCAGTCTTTAGATAACCTAGCCTTCTCCCTCTCCCTCAGTACTTTTCTTCCAATACCTTTGACTTTGATTTTCTAAATGAACATTAATGACCTAATGCCTTTTGGTGTTTTTTTTTATTTATTTATTTCTCCTTAGGTTTGAAAGTGTTAGTGACTTTACCTCAGAACTAGAAGACAGTGATGATCCAACAGCTTATGTCACCAATTTGACATACTACCACCTGGTCCCATTTGAGACTGATATTCTGGACTGAGGCTGCTCAGTAATGCAGTCAGCCAGCATCCAGCCAACCTCTTTGTCCATAGGCTCTGCTATCTCTGGCATTGCATCTCTGTGAATAAGGCTGTGCGGACAAGACCAACAGCGGAGAAGTTGCAGCAGGTAGGCCACAAAGCTGGTTTTGCAGTCTGGCCCTCCGTTGTGTGTTATGGAGACATCTTGTAAGGACGTAACTGCTTCGCTGTTGACAACACTCGTTTTCCATGAAAGCAAGGCAGCAGAGGCATCTTGGGGCTCAAGGAAATCTCTGCTATGTCCGTGGGAATTGCCACTCCAACGCAGCCATCGGAAACTTGTGCTGCAGTACACTGTCACCCATGCTCCTTGGCTTGCAGTGCAAATTGAGGCTTCCTCTTTTAGGATACCATCAGAAACTTCCCCAGATGGCGTGACCACACTTTTTATGCTACGTAAGCAAGAAGGTGAGCAAACCAGCTGAATTTTGTCAGTTCCCTCTGCTGTTGCTTAACGGAGGTCTTGCGGGTCACTTTTTGCTCAGCTACCGGAGCCTTACACAAGATGTCAGAAATACCATTGAGTGCCTCCAGGAAACAGAACACATGAGCTGACCGCTTTACTTCTTTTAATCACGGGTTTTATATAATCACTGAAGAGGCTCTTTCCTGGAATAGTAAAGCAGACAGCAGCTGGCATTGCAATGGACTGTGTATGATGTTCGGGTACCTGTATGATTTCAGAGGTCTGGAAAGCTGATGGGAAAGCTGAGCTGCCAAGCCTAAGAAGGCTCAAGGCTATGGCAGGCACTTGGATATGATTTTTTTTCATGTGGACCAGCAAACGTGAATGGTGCTTACAGTTGTTTATATCAGAGGGATAATTCCCTATGCATATTTCTCCCCAGAGGATGGGGAGGAAGACAATGAGATTTATGTTGTGTTTGGACTGAAAAAGAATGATAAGCTACAGTGTGTCTACAGTGGTAGGAAAAACTAGCTCTCTCCACTGCCGGCCTGGCTCAAGGAGTCTGTCTAGCTTTCTGAGATCTGCCTGCGGGGCTGGGTGCAGGCCTCGTTGTCATGTAATGCCATGGATTTCAGTGGAGGTAGGACAGTGGGAGCAAGAGAGGGATTGGACCCTGCAGCCTCTTGACTACTGGGTAGCGCAACGTTAAAATCTCCTTGGGGCCTCTCTCTTGCGGAGCGCTCCAAAATCCCGGCTCTCACTGTGAGTGCTCAACACTCGCCAACGTGACCTTTCATTGAGCTTTTTGCGATCTGTTTGCCAACATGAATTTGAAGGGATCGAAATGAGAAGGAATGCATTTTGGACTTGTTTCTTGGTAAAGGGGCGTGCTTGGTCCTGGAGAAGTTGATACAACTCCCTTCTGCAGACTTTTCATTTCTATCTATAGAATAACAGTCAAACAGAATTTGCTAATGTAAATAATAAATTATTGAGAATCCTAATTCTTTTACACAGTATGTTTTTAAAATATATTTTAATGAAATAAAATATAACTCACCTTCAGTACACTTTCTGCAGCTTAAAACAGTGACTTCCTTTTTTTTTTTTCCTTTGAGGACACTTTCCCAACCATGCCAAATCCTTTAATTCTTTCTCTAGTAGTTTTGGAAACATGCTGAGTTTTGGCAATTCTTTCTGTGCTCCATGTGTTGCTGCCCATACTGTAGGTATAGTGTATACTCATGTGAAACCTCTCCGCCTAACAGTTGATCTTGTGTTTAAGTATATGTGGTTTAATGCCACTAAGTTTAGTAGAGGAATTCTGCATTTTCAAGACTATAAGTGAAATTGAATCTGGCAGTTATTCCTTTTGAAGATAAAGTGGATTCTCACATGTTAAATTTCTGGAATAGAAAGGGATATGTCTTCACTCATGCAAAGGCTTTCTGAGCAGCTTCTTGAATTGGAATTAGGGAGGTTTTTCGTTTATTTGTTTTACTCTCGTTAGTTTTAACTCTTTTGTCAGTGCTTTCAGTTAACCATGGTGGGGTAGAAATAGCATCTGGTAAATATGTGCAGTGGATTGGGAATTGGAATATTTGATTTCAATTCCTAGCCCCGCTGTCAGCCTACCATGTTGCTTTGGGTAATTCTACTTCATCTCCCTATCGCTGAGTTTTTCCTTGAGTAATATTTTGAAGAGCACCAAGTGTCATTGGCTTTTGATGCAGTATGTCCCTTGGCTCATTTGAATGTTCCTATGAATTTAAACCACAATAACTACTTATCTTTTTTAAAGCCCTTTAAAATCTATAGATTAAAAAATAGAGAAGTATTGCTAATTTTTAAAATGTACAACCACATTCCTCATAGGAAAACCAGCTAAGCTGCATGCTCAGTAAAGTCTTTGGGGAAGGGAGTCTAATGCAAAGGAACTAATCTACAAACAGAAGTTGCACGTATTTCACTTGGATTTTTCAAAAGCCCTCTACACCGCTCTCTTGAGACCCCACCTGGAGTACTGCATTCAGCTCTGGGGCCCCCAGCATAAGAAGGACATGGACCTGTTAGAGCGGGTCCAGAGGAGGGCCATGAAGAAGATCAGAGGGCTGGAGCACCTCTCCTGTGAAGACAGGCTAAGAGAGTTGGGGTTGTTCAGCCTGGAGAAGAGAAGGCTCTGGGGAGACCTTATAGCAGCCTTCCAGTACCTGAAGGGGGCCTACAAGAAAGCTGGAGAGGGACTTTTTACAAGGGCATGTAGTGATAGGACAAGGGGTAATGGCTTTAAACTGAAAGAGGGTAGATTTAAATTAGATATAAGGTAAAAATTCTTCACTATGAGGGTGGTGAGGCACTGGAACAGGTTGCCCAGAGAAGTTGTGGATGCCCCATCCCTGGAAGTGTTCAAGGCCAGGTTGGATGGGGCTTTGAGCAACCTGGTCTAGTGGAAGGTGTCCCTGCCCATGGCAGGGGGGGTGGAACTAGATGATCTTTAAGGTGCCTTCCAGCCCAAACCATTCTATGACTGATCAAGTATTTTCCAGAGATGATGTCATGTGATTCATTTCTCTTAGCTGAAGTATGTTTATTTGGTAAATCAAAAGAATGCAAATGACCATGTATATTACTTTGTACCACGAAAGAGTAGAATGCACCTCACTCAAAAGAGAGAAGCAGCAATATGTTTTATTGAGGTAGAATAATAATTTGACAGGGTTCAATACATTCAGTGGAATTTAACAAAGTTTAACAGTGGTTTACCAAGGTTCAGTAAGTTTGATGGCAAGGTTCACTTTATTAATTATTGCATGGAAGAAACATACAAAGGAAAATTGAGTTAGAATCAAGTTAGAATGATTCACACAGACGGGAGATGAAAAGGGTAAGGAAGACCCTCCTGTTGAGTCATGAGGTTCAGAGTGGACCCCCTTGCTTTCTAAACTCCTTTTGTAAACTCCTGATGGAGCTTAGGTGCGGCCAGGTCCAATCTTAGTCTCAGACTCGGACAACGGTTTATGTCTAATGGAATTATCTATACAAAGTATACAAAAATATGTAATAGCTACATGGATTAGTAATGTTTCATTAGTATTAATTCAGCATGCTATCAGTCACTTACCGAAGACCTGCTGTTGCTAAAAGCTCCTCTGCCTTGAGGAGCAACCTTGAGAGGCATCCCAGCTCAAGGGGAGATCACCACCATGCAGCCACGCTGCTTAGCAGGGAGAGCTCAAAGAAGGCTCACTTAGGCTGTCATATTTATGGAATAAAGTGGTTGACTCGTAGTCAAATTACATGTGATGGGAAAGGTATGCATGAGACTCCTTGTACCCACAGCTTTCCTTGTTCCTTGATAAATGAGTCTTGGAAAAGCCACCCGCTATTCATGTGTTAGTTGCATGATCGGTGTTCCAAGCTCATATGCATCAAAGCTTACTGTGTCACTCTACTCCTTTGTGGGTTTTTAGAAAACAAATTGAAACAAGAGGAGTTCTTGGCCCAGCTAGAGCTCAGGCCTTTACCTCCTTTGGAGCCTGTACCAAACTACAGCAGTAGTAGATTGGTTAAGGGGTTGAGTGCATCCGTCACACTTTGTCCATAGAGTCAATTAAAAAAACCTTCTTTGGTTAAATAGCTGCAACTTTGTCATGGGGACCAGGTCTCTACAACTGGGAGAGATTCAGAGTATGAGACTGAAAAGAACACAGAGAATTTTCTGGGTTGTTTGGTTTTTTTTCTTCCCAACCAACTTTTATTATAGACTAGAAGCATCCTGCAAGAAGGTAGTCCAAACTCATTGTGCAGGTATCAGACTGAAAAGGAACACAGAGAATTTTCTGGGTTGTTTGGTTTTTTTTCTTCCCAACCAACTCTTATTATAGACTAGAAGCATCCTGCAAGAAGGTAGTCCAAACTCATTGTGCAGGTATCATTCCATTAAATTTTGTCTTTTGATGTAGCAGAATGCTCAACTTTTCCAACTGTACTTTGGTTTCCATTGTGTTTGGTAGTATGTCATGTTACAACAAGAACATCACTTACAACAGCAGATGGTTTAATATAGTAATTATGAACACTTTAGGTGTGAAAGGGATGTTGGATCCAGAGGATAGGTTTGTAGTATAGCAGTATAAACACAGGTAATTATGAAAAATCTGCAGTCAGAAGAGAATGTTTTGCCATCAAGGCAGAATAAGACCTTTCTGTAAAGCTCATGGTTAAAAATGTCATTGGTTAAGCCAGTGCTGAAGAGTAAAGATACTCCTCAATCAGTATAATGTGATAAAGAGCTAACAGGTATGAGGTAAAAATGTATGCACAACTACAAATGCATGTGAGTAACCCTATTACTCATTAAAGATAAAATAGCCCTAAGCTTATTTGTTAGTGATGAGAGGGTGGACCTGGCCCTCTTGGAGAATTTTTTGGGGAGCAGGGAGCCTGTATGAGCAGTTCTCACTCTGCTGAGAAAAGGAAGGCTCCAGCTGAAACCTTCATTCTTGCCATGCCCTGTTACTGTCTCTCTTCTATTGTGGGCCAGTCGTTCTCCAGCTCATGTTTTATAATACTCTGAATTAGTCTGTGGGGCTGGACTGGCATGTGGTTCACCCCCAAAGCCAGAGGGCACAAGACCACTGTGGAGCAGACATGTGCCTTCTGCTGTGTCCCACCAATCCTTCATGCAGGGCTTGGGACACTCTTGTTGGCTTCCCCGGTAATGTCCTCGCCATTACACGAGTGAGAAGAGACCTGGGCCTGTGGTACCTGCTTCAGCTGAAGTGCTCAGAAGCAAATAAAAGATGGCAAAGTGGAACCCCAAGTACTCAGTCTGTGGGTCAAATATCTTTCTTCTTTTGGAGTGACTGTCTTCCAAAACAGCCTTGCAAATGTCTGTAAGGGGGTGGGAGGGTTGCATGCATTTTTCCTTCAACAGAGCCCTTTTGGAGAATTTTTAAGCCGGAGGATTTGTGTCACAACAGAGCCCCTCACAGAAGAAAATTTATTTTTCAACAAAGCAAACACCTAAAAGCATATCTTAGCTACTTCCTCTTCTTCCACCTTGGTGACTGCAAAAAAACATTCCTATCTTCTTGCAGCTGCTTCTCTGCTCCGGGGGATTGAAAAAAAAAAAAGGTCTTGAGAAACAGGGATTCATCCTGAAATATCTCTGCTTTGGGGATTTGCCTTAATTTTTGTCCGCAGTTGGTTGTCACTGGGCTGCTGGCACTCCTTTCTGGATCCCATCTGTCAGAAAGAACGTGTGTCTGTGGAGATCATGGCTGCCTGATTGCACCAGAGCCCCGGCTTGCTCCTTGGCTGAGGTAGCGCGGGCACAAACCCATCCCCAGGCAGGGGCAGGGGTCCTGGGGCACAGGCAGGCTCTCCCCTCCCTTGTTTCATGGTAGCTGGTAGGGAAGTGGCCATTTCCATCAGCCGGTCCTGCTGAAAAGGGGTAAGAGGATGGGTTTATACAAGACTTGTAGCCGTGGTGGTGGGCAGTTAATGCATGTCCGTCTGTATGGAGACGCTCTGCCCATTTATATGGTTTTATAGAAACAATCCTCTTGACGTACTGAGGGCATAAACACAGGGGCAAAAGCTATCGGCGAAGCACAGTCCCCGTGTTGCTGCACAGCGACTGTCACGTTAACTGGAAAGAAACGTCTCAACAAGCAGGCTGAGCATGCAGGGCTTCCCCTCCCTCGGCCTGCTGGGGCCGTGGCGGCAGCTACAGCTGCCCTGTGAGTGGCTGAGGCCTGTCCCACCACCCTGCCAGGAGCAGGGCACTGGGGGCACTGGGGAAGCCCCAGACATCGGGCGCTGCCCTGGGGATGGGTCAAGGACAGGCTGGGATGTGGGCCCACTGAGGGGAGCTGGAGACTGGCCCTGCTGTGGTGTCACTGGGGCAGGGGCTGACAGCCTTGGGGGGCTGATGTGGGGTCCTGGGCCATGGGCAGGTGGGGGAAGCCCAGGGGCAGGCAGGGACAGCCAGGCCTGTGGGCGCCCTTGGGGCCTGGATGCTCAGGATTTTTGTCCTGCATGTTTTGGAAATACGTTTACAGTTAA